GCATTTTCAAACTATATTTCGAAATTTTTGATAACAATCTAACTTTAAAAATTCATCGACAATTGTACGATAGTCGAATCGATAAATATTTTACATTCTCTCGAAACTCATTTTGAGAATTATATCGTAGAGATATCGAATGATCTAAATAGATATCGAAAATAGTTAAACGGACATTAAACGTATGTGTTAAAAAATACGCATAAGTCGTTTTTCTTAAAAAAAATCAATTATTTTATTACTATTTCGAAATTTTCGATAACAAGCTAACTTTAAAAATTCGTCGACGATTGTACGATAGTCGAATTGATAAATGTTTTACATTCTTTCAAAACTCATTTTGAGAACTATATCGTAGAGATATCATATGATCTAAATAAATATCGAAAATAGTTAAACGAAGATTAAACGTATATGTTAAAAATGCGTATACGTCGTTTTTCTTAAAAAAATCAATTATTTTTTTACTATTTATTCTTTTTTTGCAACAATTTTCTAAATGCATCATTTTGCTCAAAAAAATTATGTGGTATGACGGAAATTTTTTTCTCCATACACGGAGTGAATATGTTTTTTTTCATCATTTTATATATTGAATTATTACTAGAAAATTAAATTTTATCTCAAACTATTAAAAAATACTGATTAATAATAAAAAATTTGAAGAAAAAATTTAAAAAGAACTCTAAATTAAAAAAACTATTATTTATAACGTAAAACTACACAGAAATTTTTTTTCTCAAATCTAAGTTTCTGTTTGGAATTATTAAGAGAAAAGAATTATAAATTGAAAAAAAAAATTATAATGTGAACAAAAAAAATTAAAATTATTTCTAATTCTTTTTTCTTCAAATTTTTTACTTAAAAGTAACTTTTTGTAAAATATATTTTTTATTTTTTTAATATAAAAGTAATTTTTTTCTTATATCCCTACTATATATATCTATATAAGAGTGGTTGAGCATGAAGTGGTGGGAGGTATGGAAAGTTTAATAAAATATTTTAAAGTAAATTTTTTTTATATATTTTATTACTATAAAATTAAATATTAACTCAAAGTTTTAAGAATATTTCTTTACATAGTTTGCTTCAAGTTGTAAAAAATGAAATTTTATTTTTATTTCTATTTATTTATTTATTTTTTACTTATGTTTTTGTATTCGTTTTCAGGCTCATTACGGGATATCAAACGAAATCGAAATATTACATTCTTAATATCGTTTTGAAGTACTCGCGGCATAGTATTGCACGTCATTAACGGTTCGTGAAACGGTCAATCATAGCAAATGTTATGGGACGTCAAAGTAGGCATTTTCAAACTATATTTCGAAATTTTCGATAATAAGCTAACTTAAAAAATTTATCGACGATTGTATGATAGTCGAATCGATAAATGTTTTACATTATCTCGAAACTCATTTTGAGAACTATATCGTAGAGATATCGAATGATCTAAATAGATATCAAAAATAATTAACGAATATTAAACATATGTGTTAAAAAATACGCATAAGTCGTTTTTTCTTTAAAAAAAATCAATTATTTTATTACTATTTTGAAATTTTCGATAATAAGCCAACTTTAAAAATTCGTCTACAATTGCACGATAGTCGAATTGATAAATGTTTTACATTCTCTCAAAACTCATTTTGAAAACTATATCGTAAAGACATCGAATGATATAAATAAATATCGAAAATAGTTAAACGGAGATTAAACGTATGTGTTAACAAATGCGTTTTCTTCTTAAAAAAATCAATTATTTTTTTCTTTTTAATTCTCTTCTCTTCCAAATAAAACTTAATTTTTCAGAAATCACTTTTAGTTAAAAAAAATTTAAAAATAAACATATTAACAAAAAATATTTCTAATATATGTAAAAATTACTTATATAAGTAAAAAAATTTGTTTAAAATTATTTAGAAGTAAAAAATAAAATAAAGTTATGAAAATTAAATGAAGGATATATAAATATTATTTAATTAAAATTAAAAAATTTACTTTATAAATAATTGGTTTTTTATCAATTTATTTAAATTTCTTTTTAATTCTTTTCTCTTTCGAATAAAATTTAATTAATTTTTTTTTTCAAATTCTTTTGCCCTGCCAACCTTGGAGTGACTGTTGTATCATCCGAAGAATAGGCCTACTATTAGGGTTCTAATTCTTACACCAATAAGGGAGTTGGACATCCAGTAAGTGCCACTTCAAGTTATTTTTTGTGCGAGCCTGAGTTTGTTATTTAAATGTTTGTGTATGTGGATATCCTCTTTCAATTTACAACTGCATGTATTATTTTTGAACTACAAGTATAGCATCTCGAATCGAAGTTGCTAAAGAAAAGCATTTTGCAAAATTCAATTTACAACTTATTTGTAATATCAGATAAAAAAAATATCTTCATCTACATTAAACAAAAAATACAATAAATAATTAAAAATAAATTATCGTTGATATATATACAATCATAACATTCATTATACTTATTTATAAGAATAAAAATAAATTATCGTGACATAAAATATACAGCCGACTAAAAGATGAGAATCAAACAAACATTTCTTATTTCCAAATACTTTTTGTACAATCTCTAAATTTTACGCTAATAAAATCAAAATAAATACAAAATTCGTGCAACGCACTAGACGCAAACTAGTACATAGAAATTTATTTTGCCAAAAACTTTCGATTGTTCGAGCTTTTTCGAGATTATAGTTTGAGTTATTTTAGCATCATAGCGCTTGGTACACAAAAAGTAACTCGAGGCCAACCTTAGCAATAGGTACAATTCTAACATTTAAATCTTGGTAGTGTCTTGATCAACGAAGGTTCATTCTTATAGTATGAATGTCTTTCTTTAATAAAATATTTGGATTTTTGGCTCCAACCTAGAAAAAGATGAAAAACAGGGCAACGTGTTAACAAAGTAATTGATTTGACCATTGATATGTTAATTGTGAACAGAATACTCGAGGCAATTGCATAGCATTAGATAAATAAAACCCTTTTAGGTTTGGTGTATACACTTCCCTCACATGAGGGGAGGGGCCAACTCCCAATTAATACACGGCCATATCCCCCATGTGAGGGGGCTATACACTGAGCCTTACGGTTTGATGTACATGTAGCAATTGACATTGCCCCACAATTTGACTCCATGGTGGTATATTGTAGTTCAAGAAAATTGTCTTGTTATTCAAATCATTGAGCTCCCGAAATAGTTAGTTGTATTACTGTATATAGCGGAAAGTTGAATCCATATATAATTTTACTTTAATTTTGCAAAATGCTTAAGGCGTGAATAAATAAAAAGGCAACCTTCAAGTTTTTACGAATATGAATGGGTCAGAGTATAAACAAGCATAAATCATGACTAGACAACAAGGCAAAATTTGCATTTAGGCTAGCAATTTAGAACATAACATTTTATTAATATACACAACAAAAATTTAGATATGTCCCCCGATAACGAAGCTTACCTATTGTTGTTAAAACTTCGATGGAACTCCATCGTGATATGGACTATATAAGAGATGCTAGTGAAACTTGATAGACACACTAAGATGGATATACGGTGCTTGTTTGATAGTTTTTTTTAGTATTTATAAATTATGAATTCTAAATATAATCACATTATAAATATTTCTAAACAAGTTACTATTTCACTAATTCATATTTATAAGAAAGAGAAAATTTCTTTAACTCCCATAAAGCTAAAATTAAAATAAGTAATAATCACAGTTGTACTTTTAAACTTTTCAAAACGCTGAAGACTTTTTTTTAGTCTTTCATTTGTTGCACTCATTATCTTAAACCTTTAAAATGTGTGCATCTGAAATTCAAATTGATGAAAACCATCCAATTTGTCACCAGTTGACCAATAAAACTAAAATTTGATATTTTTTGACTAATTTTTCTTGGTCAATCGATGACATACTGGACTGTTTTCATCAATTTGGATTTCAAACCGACACATTTGAAAGAACAAATGAAAGGTTTGGGGGCACAGCTGCAATTATCCCTTAAATTAATTGTCCAAACAAATTTTTTTAAAAAGGAATTCACACGTGGGGGCACAACAATTTGGACCAAAATATTATCTCAACATGTGAATTGGCTTGTCTAAGGTCAAAAGTTGTAAGAAGTAAGAACGTTCCTTCCCACACAATTACACACATCGCAACGTTAACGCGCAATCAAATATTTCGTCCGTCCCCTTTCCTCTCTCCTTCACCTCCTCATTTTCTTGTTTACTTCTCCCACAAACAATATAAAAATTCACAATAGAATAATATTCTTCGTTCAAATTCCAACAGCAG